TGTGAGATGACATAAAGTGCATGTGTGCGAGTGGTATTATAAAGTGTAAGTAGTTGAGTGAAAACGTGCAAAATTAAAGTAGCGTGAAGTGAGAATGTGGAAAAAGGATTAGGATCTAAAGTAGAAGTGTATGTGATAGTGAATGAGTAAAATGCATGAATCCTATGGGAATGCATCAAAACGGGAACGGGAGTCCTAACTTTGTGACTTCAATTTTCCCTTTGATTAGAAAGGATAACTAGCGTGCTAAGGCTATTTTGGAGCCACACTCGCTCGTTTCCCTTATCGAAAGGGGACTCTTCAAGCAAATGGACCCTATAACTAGCATGAGGTGCAAAATCTAAAGTGAGAGGGAAGGGATTAGAGGGGCATGCCAAATGATAGAGAAACTAGGAAAAATGCATGAAATGAAGTGAAACACGCAAATATGCACCTACGAAAAGGGAAATGGCCTATTGGGTCTAGCATTGGACTAGCCCTTTCTATGAATTCCGACTAGCGTTGGACTAGTGGAAACGTACATTCATCCATGGCTATGGAAAGCGAGTAGACATGTCAATCACATAGCACCTAACACTTAGCATGCTCGACTAGATGCAAGAACCTAATAAAGCAAGTAACACATAACACAGGCATGCAACCAAGCTAATGAACCTATTACATTCACTAACTAAAACAAAAGGGGAAGGGGAAAATGGACCAAATTACTCGCCAAAGCCCTATCTATTACAAGCCAAGAGGTGTACACATACCCCATTAAAAGAATAACTTAATGAAAATGAAAGTAAATGACATAAATGAAAGGAATTAAGGAAAGGCTAGGAAAGCAAAGTAGACATGCAATTCTCACTTAGCACGTTGGATCACATAGGAGAGACACAAAAGGGATAAAAGAAATTATACCTCCCTTGAATTGGGGCCCCAATGGAGTGAGACCACTTATTTATCCTCCAAAATAATAAACGAGTCAAGGCATCACTTTATTTAACAAATAATCATAAAAAATAAAATGGTAAGCTTGAAATTGAATCAATTGAATCATGTAAGCAACTCACATTCAAGAAGTCAAAAGAAGAAAGGACTTAATTGCACAAATTAACAAAGTTTGGAGGTCAAAATTAAAGAATAATAAAGTTCAGGGACCTATTTGCAATTAATCTAGGGACCCAATTGACAGCATTGAAAGTTTGTAGGGCCCTAGTGAAATTAAAGAAAAGTACAGGGCCTGATCTGCAAATCATTTTCTGGTTCCTTAATGGACCAAGCCATTGGCCATTTCTTATTGGTTTGGGCCAAAGCTTCCCAGCCCACTGGAAATCCTAAACGAAAGGGAATGAGCCATTTTATTATATTGACTCAAAGAATAATCCAACAAACTAATGGGCTTAAACCCCTCAGCCCAGGACCAACCTAAATAAATAAAAAAAACCTAACCCAAATCCAAGTCACTCAAATAAATAGCTAAAACCAATTCCCCTTCCATTTTACCAAAACCCAACAAACAAATGGGTGAACCAAATATGTTAAAGCCTAATTTTATTCCAAAATTCAGAATTAATGAACTAAAAAAAACACACGTAAAACATACAAAAATTCAAGCTTGAAAGAGGTAAAAATGATTTATTTGCAGAAGGTTTTGGGCCTTAGTGCAACAAAGGGAGACTTGGGGGGCCAAAGTGCAATTTTTAGAAATCATCATGCAAACTTCCTGCAAATTCGTGAGAAACATTCTGCAGCAAAACTTTACAAATTAATGAAGCTATCGGCAAACTCTGCTACATAATCTTTAAGCACAAGGTCTAGCAATTTCGGCAAAGCAGATTCATACACACAGCTTTGCAATTACTCCAATTAAACATGGCTGAACATCCTTTAACAATGCAAATAATTGGAAGAAATTCATGCAAGGTTACGAAAAAGCTTTAATGCACTTCTGCAATATTTCCTTTGCTGCAAAACTTGCAGCTTCAAATCACTGTCTTAGACACCAGCAAAAATATCAAAACAGCAAGACAGCCCTCGGATTCTTCTAACATGAACAACCGAGAATTAACATCAAAGGGATAAAATGAATTACTTCACATCAGCCCACAAGATTGCCAAGACGGGAATGTGCGAAACCAAAGGAGAACCTCAGCAATAAGAAAAATGACATTTTCCTTTTCAAAGTTCTTAAGTCAAGTTTTATCGCAAATTTGGACTCCAAACCCGGAGTACCACCCGGACGTGAACACTAGAGGCACTACTTTTAGTGAGTGCTTCCAAATATCTGATTGAACTTGATATTTGTGATTTATCCTTGACCAACGTGATTACATGATATATAAGTGATTTGACAGGGCAAGAGTGTACTTTATCGCACTTGCCCTAATGAGACTTGTACTTGTTCATCAATTTCAATTGACTTGCTTTACATGTGTATGAATTATATGTTGCCTGGAATTCCAAAAACCCTGTGGCTAGTTAATCAAGTCGAGCCGGCAAGGGCCTGGTCGATTAGATAACGAACCCTGGGTAACTAGTAATGTCGAGTGGAGTGTTATCTCCTCGACTAATCAGTATACTCGAGTATTACCACCCGTGTTTCGTGTGGCGTGCGGGCCCGGAAAAGAGGGTTGATCGGTGGACGGAGACTGGCGTGAAGTGGGGTATTATTTCTGGACTAGTTATTACTTGAAAGTTGATGGAGTGTCAACTACTAATCGATCAAGCTGGGATGGAGCAGAGACATGAGCCACTGTATCCTTACATGTGAATATGACCCATATATTTCTTGACTACCTGAAGTATTATCTCTCTGATTGGACTTGTTTGCTCGCTATTTCATTATCACAATGTTATTACTTTGTTTGATGGCCAATTTGATATCTGGAACTTCACTGAGCTTTGGCTCACTCCGTTAGTTTTGTTTTCCTTACAAGGGTACGAGCGAGGCATGAGACGTGTAAAGACTAGCGTAGTCTAGTTGTTTTGACTTTTGACTTGTACTCGCGCTATTCCTCGTATAGAATGTTTTGTATTTGGATTGTATATACTTCGAACCAGTTTGGGTATATTGGGGCTTTGTATCTTGATTTTACATCAACGTAAATTATAAGCTTGAATTGCGATGTTATTTCCGGTCCATGGATGTATGCACGTGATACGAGTGAGTGAGTCCTGACGAGAGCTGGGCAGGCGGTCCGCCAAACCCTTTGGTACGCCTTAGGGGGAGGTGGGGTCGTCACAGGTGGTATCAGAGCCTAGGTTGTGAATTTATCTGGATAGATTGAGTGCTTGATACGATAGGCTAGGGTTTTATTCTTAAGCTTAGCCTTTAGCCTTGTTTTCTACGTCTCGTGTACTTACTTTTGCAATGTTACTTGCAAACATAGGTGATGGCGGGTACTGACACCTCTGGGAGTGCTGGGCCGTCTCAGCCCGTACCTACTGATGTACCTACTGACGTACCTTCTGACGAGCCGCATTTGGAGGGACCCGTTTGTCGCGTGATCACGTACCAGGAGAGCCCCGGTGGGCCAGTGCAGCGGTGGTCCCCAGCGCGCAAGATCCGACGCTGTGACTGCTGGAAAACCTACTCCTACCCTGATCGAGTAGTGCTTGCCGTGGACGACGAGCGAGACGATTGGTAGCGCCAATCGTAGGTGCCAAATGGAGATTGAGCGTCTCCAGGCTACTCTCCGAGTCCAGGCAGCAAGGATCCGAGAGCTGGAGGCCTCGATTTTGGAGGAGCAGCAGCAGACTGATGCTTTCCGCGAGAAGGCTCAGGCAACAACTGGACGCCTTATGCGAGTAGTTGAGGATATCAGAGACCGGACCGGCCACATCCTGACTGAGTGCGAGGCACTGGTGGATGATGTGATACAGGACTTGGCCGAGGAGGGTCAAGCGCCTGTAGCTCCTAAGGTTCCTGGTGCTCCTGAGGAGGATCCTGAGGAGGACCCGGAGGAGGAGCCGAGTGCATCTTCGGAGTCGGTTGGGTCGGCGTCTAGCCGGGCGACTTTTTTGGATTGAGGTCGAGGAGAGTTTTGTGGGATAGTTAGGAACATAGTAGGACGACACGTTTTCTTTTGTTTTTGACTTTGACGTGTCACGGTGGATGTAAATAGGGTTTCTTTTGTTTTATGTTCCTTGGCTAGTATAGCCTTTGACTTGCCTAGGTTGGCATGTATATGTGACTTGTTTGCTATGTATATAAAGTACCTGTTTATTATGTGTTCTATTGCCTCTATTTATCCTTTTGTAACGTGTTATACGAGCCATACCTTACTTTGTTATATGTTTATAGTTGGTTAAATCCAAACATGGAGGTAGAAGAAGTCAAACCAGGGGAACTAACTGAGGACGCGGTCCTAGTCGTGGCCGTGGGGGATAGACAAGTGTAGGAACCGGTGCAAGAACCGAGGGAGGAGAGAGAGGCAACGATTGAGCCACAACCTGAACCCCAGGCTGCAGGGGAAGATCAAGTGGCAACCGCCATCCATCAAATGACCAATATTCTGGCTCGTTTAGTGGAACAATAGGGTCAAGCTCCTGTAAATCAACCTAGAGACCCTGATAATGGACAAGATAGGGCCTTAGAGAGATTTCAGAAGTTCTCTCCACCTAAGTTCTTAAGAGGACCAGACCCGGACGGAGCCGAGAAATGGATGGAGGCCATGATTAACATCTTTGCCGCTTTAAACTATACCGAGGAGAGGCAAGTGCAGTTCGCTGTTTTCTAGTTTGAAGGTCCAGCCAGGGCTTGATGGAATGTAATTAGGGCCAAGTGGGAGAGAGAAGGAACTGCATGGACCTGGTTAAACTTTGTACGGGAGTTTAACGAAAAATACCTTCCGCCTATCGTCCAGGAGAAGCGAGAGGACGATTTCATTAAGCTCCGGCAGGGAACTTCTAGTGTAACTGAGTATGAGACTCAGTTTACGAAATTGTCAAAATTTGCTCCTGAGCTGATCGCTACGGAGCAAAGAAGAGTACGGAGATTCGTGCAAGAGCTCAATATGGAGATACTGGAGGCCTTGACGGCAGCCCAAATTAATACGTTTACGAAGGTGTTGGAAAAGGCCCAACGGATAGAGACTGCCAGGGCACAAGTGAGAAATTTCCACGCTAAGCGGAAAGGGGTACCTAGTGGAGGCCAAGGGTCAGTGCGGAGTGATCGGAGCATGCCACTTGCTAAATCCGGTCGTGGGGCTGGAGGTGAACGGTTTTCGAGTGCGCCGAGGGGAGGTGCTCCGAGAGGAGGTGCCCAGAGTGGAGGCCAAAGTGGTAGGGGGCAAGGTAGAGGAATTTCACAGGGAGGACAGACCTCCACTCCCCGAGTAACGTGCGAATATTGTGGGAAACCGAACCATACTGAGGATGAGTGTTGGAGAAAGGCTCGGAAGTGCCTAAGGTGTGGATGTACGGAGCACCAAATAGTCAAACTGCCCGTTGATCAGTGATACTCAGTCGACTGCCAGGTCAAACCCAAAGCCGACCAATGTCGGAGGGACCAGGTCGAGGGTACCGGCCAGAGTGTATTCGCTGGACCAACAATCCGTACCTGAACCAACGGAGGTAGTGGAAGGTACGATCCCTATTTTTCACCCGTTAGCCAAAATTTTGATAGATCTCGGTGCTACTCATTCTTTTGTTAACCCTACATTTATGCTTGGAATTGACATGAAAGTTGAAAGGCTATCTTATGACTTAGAAGTAAGGACACCTACGGGTAACCAAGTTTTACTTGCGAATGAGTTGTATAGAAATTGCGATATTTAGGTTGGTGAACGGAAATTGGTAGTTGACCTCATTAGTCTAGCCATTAAGGGGTACGATGTCATTCTAGGTATGGATTGGCTAGCTCATTACATGCTCGAGTAGATTGTAGGATGAAAGTGGTAGAGTTTTACATACCAGGTAAGGCAACTTTGAAGTTAGACGTGAGGGGTATGTTAGCCTCATCTGCGCTTATTTCGGGAATAAGGGCTAGGAAATTGCTTAGTCGTGGGGCACGAGGTTATCTAGCCTTTCTAGTTAACACTCCGGGGAAAAAGATGAAGTTGGAAGACATGCCGGTAATCAGTGAATACCCGGACGTATTTACGGAGGAGTTGGGGTCATTGCCACCTAAAAACTGAAAGAGAGATTGAATTTAAGGTTGATCTAGTACCCGGAACTACTCCCATCCTAAAACCCCTTATCGAATGGCACCTGCTGAGCTTAAGGAGTTAAAGGTGCAAATGCAAGACTTGCTAGAACGGGGATTTATACACGAGAGCGAGTCTGTGACAGCCCCACCCTCCCTTAAGGCGAACCAAAGGGGTTAGCGGACTGCCTGCCCAGCTCTCGCTAGGACTAATGGTGCAGTTTAGAGCGATCTATTGCGTTCCGGAACTTATAACACGCGTAAACAAGTCAAAATGGCAAAATAACCCAAAATACAAAAAAATGAAATCCGGAGTCGGCCATGAATAGTAACCGACCCGTCAGAACCCAATCAAACATCAAAATACATATACAACATAACATTTAGTATTTAAAAGCCAAAATGGCATACAAAAGTGATACAAAAGTTACTACATGCATGGTTTGCCAAAATCAAAAGTGAAACGGCCCTAAAGGTACATTTAGGGTTTTGATTCATAAGCTATACAAAAAAGACATTCATTTAGCTCATTCGGCAACCAACTAGCAAGAATCATTCGAAAAGTAGTCATATGCCTGTAAAGAAAACAAAAGGAACGGTGTGAGCTAATTGCCCAGTGAGATACTATCACTTAAGCAACCAAGTTCATGTAATCATAAAGCTTTTCATTTCAATTCACCAAAAGTAAACAAAGGCACACATTAATGGTGGTGAGAAAAGGATACGAATGGCTCTCAAGAGCCCTTTTTCCTCGTTTGGCATTTCTTGGATCGGACGTCATTGACTCTCCGTCAATGTTCAAAAGTAACGCAACCGTAGACTCCACTTTACTTCCATTCCTTCCAACCTAACATTCCCTACCGGCCGGAAATCCAAACACTTGCATTGTGGTATTACTCGAGTAAACCGGAATCGAGAGTCTCTCATACTACAAGATTCCATATAACACTTCCCCAAGGAAGATCAATTGGCACGACCAAGCCTCGCCGGCTCGATTCAATCAATTATCAATGGGGTTGAGCTCGAGGATAACAATTGTAGTCGTTGGATACTCGTCCAAACGACACCAAGTCATGTATTTTTTATTTCATGTAACATTTCATATAACATTTCAAGAACATGATAAGAACATGATAAACAATAGGTGAGAGTGATAAAGTATGCTCTCACTTCAATCAATTAACATTCATCGCATCAAATTCAAGTATCAAAACCATATATTAACACACAAGTGAGTAGTACACTCACCAAGCTTGCAAATGGTGTTTCATGCACTTCCGTCAAAAGACATCGTGAACGCACCGCGCGTCACGCCTAAAACATGCAAACAAGTACAATGAGACTCCATAACAAGTATCAATAAGGTTCCATAAACATATACAAGCATTAGAGGAAACCAGAAAATCCGGAAATGGATTTAGCTTTGCCCTGAAAAAAATAGTTTTTTTGACCTCATTTTACGGTAATGGCACCAAAGGCACTACGATTATCGGATGAAGGTGCAAGACCCATCATTTCGAAGCTAAGAAACAGGGCTACAATATTACAGAAGGTCACTCAGCCCAGTTCTGAGTGCAAATAGGTCAGAAATGCAAGATACTACACTAGAACCGCAAAAACAGATTCACAAACCACATTCTGCTGCAAACAGCATAACTCAGGCTACTTAAGTCCAAATCCAGAAATTCCAAAGCCATCCGAAAGCTTAGAAACAGGGATACATTTTATCAGAAGGCCTCAACAACAATTCGAAGCAATACAACCAAAACACCCAATTACAGGCGCAATTCTTACATTCGGGTAAAACCAGGACAGCAAGGGTAATTTCGACTTTTCTCAGGCTACGCTAATTCGATTGACCTGAAATTTTGTAGGCCCCTCTAAAATATCATTACCTATAACTTTCATGTTTTAAGCCAAGTCCAATTCGGCCTCTAACCATGAGCTACAAAACCGGGCAGAATGTTCCCAATAAAACCCTAACTTTCTAAAATTTCTTCCAAACCAGAAATTGGTTGCAATTAATCACTTTTTCTACCTCCTAGAGTCATTAAACATCATTTCCAATCATCATAGATAGCCACACAATCATGTTCATATTAAAACAGAAAAATCACCAATAAATATAAAACTTCACTAATTCAACCACAAATCAAGATGTAATCCATAATATTGCATCTTATACCACCACTAATCATGATTTAAGCATCATTAGAGGAAGGAGAGTGGTTCGTCACAACTCACCTTAGAAATAAGAGAGAGAGAGCAATTGGTCCTCTTAGCTTTCCAAATAACTCCACACAACACCTCACTAACACTCACTTAAGGTTTTCTATGGAACAAAAGTAAGATTAAATGGTTGTTTTATTGATTTGGAGCAAGATGGAATGAAGAACTTGGAGAGTTTGTGACATCCCCACCTTTCCCTAAGGCGAACCAAAGAGGTTAGCGGATTGCCTGCCCAGCTCTCGCCAGGACCCCAGCTCTCGCCAGGACTAACGGTGCAGTATAGAGCGATCTATTTCGTTCCGGAACTTATAACGCGCGTAAACAAGGCAAAAAGGGCAAAATAACCCAAAATAAAAAAAATAGATCCGGAGTCGGTCATGAATAGTAACGCGACCCGTCCGACGCAACCAAATATCGAACAAACATTCATATCTTGAACTTTAGCAAATACAATCCAAAGTGACATACAAAAGTTTTCAAAAGTTAATATATACAAGGTTTGCCAAATTGAAAGTGAAAACGGCCCTAAAGATACATTTAGGGTTTCACTTCATACACAATACAAAAAAATACATTTAGTTCATTCGGCAACCATCTATCAAGATTCATTCCAAAAAGGTCATATTCCTGTAAGGAAAACAAAAGAAACGGTGTGAGCTAATTGCCCAGTGAGATACTATCACTTACGCAACCAAGTGCATATAAGCATCAAGCTTTCAATCAATATAATAAAAATAAGCAAAGGCACACGTCAAATATGGTGATAAAAGGATACAGATGTCTCTCAAGAGCCCTTTTGTGACGACCCCACCTCCCCCTAAGGCGTACCAAAGGGTTCGGGGACCGCCTGCCCAGCTCTCGCCAGGACTCACTCACTATCTCAATCGAGTCATGTACACACATCCATGAACCATAAATAACATTCCCAATTCAAGCTTATAATTTACATTGATAGAAATCGAGGTACAAAGTCTCAATACACCAAACTAGTTCAAAACATATACAATCCAAGCACAACATGTTCCATTCGAGGAATAGCGCGAGTACAAGACCAAAAAAGTCAAACAACTAGTCTATGCTAGACTTTACATATCTCACACCTCGCTCATACCCTGAAAGGAAAACAAATGGAGTGGAATGAGCTAAAAGCCCAGTGAGGTTCCAAATAGCAAATTGACCATTATTTATAAGTACAAGTTTTCGATATAGCAAAGTAACGGGCATGAAGAGTTCATAAAAGTGAGCAATAACACTTCAAGTAGCAATCTCAAAATGAGCGAGTGTAAAAGTTTTCAGAAGAAACAATAATCAATAAACAATAATCATTCCAAAGCATAAGGATACGGATGGCTCTCAGGAGCCAACTTCCATTCATCATCAGGAGCTTGATCACGTAGTAGTTGACACTCCGTCAACTTTCAAGTAAAGGAACCAATCCAGTAGAACACCACTTACACGACTCTCCGTCCACCATTCACACCCCTACTGGCCAAAATCCTCAATAAACACGGGTGGTAATACTCGAGTATACCGATTAGTCGAGGAGATATCACTCCACACGACAAAGCAAAAGACCCCAGGGCTCGTTACCAATCGACCAAGCCCTTGCCGGCTCGACTAGAGTAACTCGTCTCAGGGTTTCTGGAATTCCAGGAAGTGCACACCTCATAAACAAGTATATCAAGTCAATTGCAATCAATAAACAAGTATATCACGTAAAGGCAAGTGCGATAAAGTACACTCTTGCCCTATCAATTCACGTATATAACATGTACTCATATTGGTCACGTATCAAGTTCAAGTATCTAGTGCAATTCGTATTTGAAAGCACTCACCAAAAGATATAGTGCCTTTACTGGTCACTTTCAGGTTATACTCCGGGTTCGGAGTCCAAATCTGCGATAAAACTCAGTTTGAGAACTTTGAAATATGACTAAGATTCGAAACTTAGACGTTTCGTTCAATAAAAATCAAGAAATTGGAATTCACTTGGAGAGTAGTCGTGAAACACTTGCTCACTTTTTAAACGATAAACTTTGTAACATTTATACTTGAAAATACCATGCGAGTCGAAAGTACAAGGAA